AATCGTGCCTGCAATGGTGATTTGGCCATAGCCAGCAGGCACACACATACACACACACATGGGGAAGAAGCAGTGACTGTAAGGCCTCTTGACAAAACCACGAACACACGAGCAAACATTCACACGATCACACGCCACCCTAACACTACATGTCACTCCCAACCTTCGACGATGCTGAGGCGGAAGAGGGCTGCCAGGATGCTGCTCTTGCCAGCGCCAGTCCGCCCAACAATGCCAACCTGCAACGCGCGCAAACATCAGCAGCAGCAGAGTGAAAAAAGAGCGAAGAGCACATTGGGCGGGGTGAGATGAGACGTGTGCACGATGGAACGCTTGGGTGGGGTGTTCTCACACAGTTAATCGCGCTTGTGCATGTACATTCACACAACCATACACACACACACACGCACACACACACGCATGCATGCACACACACACGCACAACCACACACACACACACGCATTCAGTACACCTTGGCGCCTGGGGCAATGCTGAGCGTGACGTCCTTCAATGCGTACGGAAGATTCTTGTCGTACTTGAGACTCATGTGCTGGTAGTGTTGTGTGAGCATGTGAAACTTACAGGGTGAGTTTTGGGGTAGGGTGTTGCGTTCTCAAAGCACATGTGCACATCACATGCAGTGAAACACCGTATGCACAAGAGAACTACATGCTGCATCTGCCATGCCACATGAAACAAGGAATCAACTCACATTCACTCGTGCATCCACACACATTCTTCGAAGCTTGTACTGTCTCACACACGCACACACACACACACACACACACACACACACACACACACACACACACACACACACGCACACACTCACTCACACTATCTCACTCTGAGTCTTTCCCTCACGCGTCTTCTCATTCAGAGAAGTGCAACTCACAAGAAACGAGAGCCCACCGCCCTCTGGCCACGACGGCGGCAACATCTTATTTGCCATCCGCGCCGCCACCGACTCGTCGATGTCGAAATCTGGCTGTTGCTCAACACGCACGTGCGTGTATTCGATAATCCGCTCCACGCTCGTCATTTCGTTCTCCACGGCTGCAGACTCCAGCGTCGCCCTGTTGGTGATTGTGTGTGTGTGTGTGCGCGGAAGAAAGAACAGCTTGAACAACACTCCGAAGGCGTCATGCATTACACACACACACACACACACACACACACACACACACACACACACACACACACACACACACACACACACACACACACACATTGTCGTGCCTCACATGTGCAGCACATGAAATCAGCAACACAAAGCGCTACCCACCACTGAATGACGCCGGGAAGCCGAAGTGCATACGAGATGGCAAGCGCAGCCAACCCGGCCTCCAATTCGTGTCGAATCCCAGCAGTCACAAACACGGCGCACGTTGCAAAGGCAACGCCAAGCATGTCAAGTCTGTCAGGGGTGAAGGGATCAGGGGAGGGGGGACGGTGAGAAGGGGGGGCATCAGAGCAGGCATACGGACGCCAAACCATGGAGAGCGGATGAACAGGCATCGGCAACGCTTTATCCATGGTGTGTGTGCGTGTGTTTGGGGTAACACCAGCATGTGCGAGCTGAAGCAACTGACCTGAATGCAACCCATCGACGCAGACCAACGAACATGTAGACCGCACGGCTGTGCTCATCTTGGTAGTAGCGGAACGTCTGCAGTGCTAGATCATACGCGTCAAACACGCGAATCGTCGCAAGCCCAGTCAGGCTTTCGCTATGTGTTGTGTGTTGGGGGGGGGGGGGGAGGAAGATGGGGGTGGGGGATGACGTGTAAGGATGCAGCTGTCTGTAACAGGCACACGAACGCCTGCACATCAAATCAACCAACTTCTACAAGCAATTGCGAACGAACATGCAGGTACACAACTGCACGCACACAAATGCACACACACACACACACAACCACTCACGCACGTACACACACACACACACACGCACACACACACACACATGCAACCACAGGCAGAGCTCACTTGAAGTGGGTGTAGATTGGCGATCTGGACACGGATTCCAGGCGTTGGACTTCGCGTGCACTCCAGAGATAGCGGCGGCGAAGCAGATAGAAGAGGATGAAGAGTGGCACCACAATTACGAGCAGCCATGGCAGAATGCCAGCAGCTGGTGACCGTGGTTTGGCGTTGTTGCATTTGTGTGTAGGTGTGGTCAGGGCGAATGTATGTCACAGCACTGATGTCGGCGTGGTGGCGTGCAGGTCTGGCACGATGGAGGCGTGTGTTGTCAGGGATGCATGCAAGCGTGCCTGCAGGCAAGCAAAAGCAGCGTACCAAGAAAGATAATGACGAGCGTGGCGGAAGCAACGGTGACAAAGTCAGCAAATGTGAAAGCGAGCTGATCATCCGTTCTTCCCAGGTCCTGGCAATTCATGAATTTGTGCGCGCGTGTGTGTGTGTGTGCGTGCGCAGAGCTGTAAGTCATAAACATTCGTGCAATATGAGGCATATCGAGTGGCGCGCGTATGCTGACACAAACACCCCCACGGAATAGCGTACGCAAACACACACACACACACACACACACACACACACACACACAAACACACGCAAACACACACACACACGCGCGCGCGCGCGCACACACACACACACACACACACACACACACACACAACAAATACACACACACACACACACACACACAAAACAACACACACACACACGCCCTCACCGCACGCACCGCTACCAGCGCACCTTGCTGAACCGGTTGAGGATGCGACCAATGGGGTTGGTGTCGAAGAATCGGATGGGTGCAAAGAGAATGTGCTTGAACATGTCGTCGTGTAGCCAGCAAGACGCATTGACGAACCCGTGCAGCAGAAACAGCACCGGAACAAGGCTCACAGCGACCACCACCCCAAGCAGTATGACGTAACTGTGATGGGAAGAGCATCGTCATGAATCAACAGGGTGAGCCGCCCGAGATACGGAACGCAAAGGACAGCTATCACAGCGGGAGCAACCTTGACGTATTGTGCTGACTGCACACGCTTGTTGACATCCCTCATACACATATACAAATGCACGTACATGGTTAAGAGTCGGGTGTCGCTGGTTCCCTCGGTCTGGGCTTCATCCACCCAAAACGCGAGCACTATGTCTGCACCCACAAATAGGGACTGTGTCCCTAGCACGGTCAATGCAGTCACTGCAGATGTGCTCGTGCGTGAATATGCGAGTTCTTGGTGAGTGAGCAGTCTTGCCGACAAGATTGGGGGGGGGGCTTCAGCAACATCTGCACACAAAGAGATAAAGCAGAATCGCAGTCCCAAACAGAGAATGTGTGTGTGTGGCGCACATCACAAAGAGGGGTACAAGCGCCGACGAAAGGTCGCACACACCGATACACAGCCATATATGCACATGCGCACATCGCTCACCAAGCAGCATAATCTTTGGGCCGGTGTGCAGGATGTACTCCTTGTAAACGGCGAGAGTCACATCGCCTGCCTGTCGACTCTCATCACCAGCGAGGGTCTGCCGCCGGGCATACCTCGAAGCTACCATGGACTTGTCAACAAGCGCAGTCGTTGACGTTGACACGGGGTCGCAATCTTGGTGATGTGTTGGGTCATCGCTCACCACAGAGTTGCTGCTGTCACTTGTGCGTTTTGTTGCGTGTTGAAACTGGTCATAATGATCACGATGAGCCCCATTGCCGCTGTTGTCATTGGTGTAGTTGTCGTTGTTGCCACTGTTGTCGTTATCGTTGTTGTCATTGTTCCTGGTGGTACTGCTGTCGCTGTCTTCATGTTGCGCACGTGTATCACGAGCGAATGTTTCCTGCGGCAGTGCATACCGGGAGTTGTGCTTATCGCTGTCCGCTGCATCAGCATCGAAAAAGCCCTACGCATGTGACAGGTGACATGGACAGGCGTGAAGGAAAAAAGGTGGTTCCTGGGGGCGTGTGTACGTGTTTGTGTTTGTGTTGGTGCAGTGCAGCAACGTGACATGACACTGCCACACGAACCTGCAGGGCAGACGGGTGCTTGGCGGCAATCTCCTTGTATGGGCCTTGGGGAGGTAAAGCGATTGGGCGAGTGAGTGTGAGTGGGTGAGTGAGTGTGTGTGTGTGTGTATGTGTGTGTGTGTGTATGTGTGTGTGTGTGAGTGAATGGTAGGGAGGACGGGGTTGAGATCGTTGTGGAAACAACGAACGGGAAGATGGGAAATACCGATCGCAGCTGAGTGTTCGTTGACAAGCAGCACACACACAACACACACCTTGCGCGGCGACGCGTCCGTTTGCGTCGAGGACGACGACGAGGTCCGCCTTGGCGAGGTGGTGCACCTGATGCGTCGCCAGCACGCGCGTCTTGCCTGCAAGCAACCCGCAGATGCACTCCTCAAACAGCACCCGCCCGACCTGCAACGTGGGTTTGTGTTGTGTTTGCATGTGTGTGCATGTGCGTGTGTGCATGTGTGTGAGCGAGTGCGCGTGTGCATGTGTGTGCGTGTGAGTGAGCGTGTGTGTGTGAGTGTGAAAGAGGCAAACAGTCAATCATCCAATGTCAACTGTCTGTTTCTGTTTTCTATTTACCAGCACCCCAACCAAGACCCCAACCAACACCCCTCCCTCCTCATCCCTCATTCCCCCATCCTCTCCCTTCCACCACTCCGCACCTTCGCGTCGACGGCGCTGAGCGGGTCGTCGAGCAAGTACACGTCTGCCTGGCGGTACACGGCGCGGGCAAGCGAGACGCGGGCCTTCTGCCCGCCAGAGAGCGTGACACCGCGCTCCCCAATGAGCGCCTGTTCCCCGCCGGGCAGCAGCTGCAGGTCGCGTTCTAGCGCACACGCGCGAATGACGGCTGCGCGGCGGGCCGGGTCGTCGGCGGCGCCAAAGAGGATGTTCTCACGCACGGTGGTGGCCAGGATCCAGGGCTCCTGCGACGCATAGCTCACGCGCCCGCGCACACCGGCACTGCCTTTGCTCGGCAGCAGCTCCCTGGGGGTGGTGTGGTGGGGAAGTGGTAGTTGGTGTGGTGGGGGGTGTTGGGGAAGATGGGTGGGAGGATAGCGAGGTAAGGAGGTGTGTGGTGGGAGCGAATTGAGGGGAGGTCAGAAGGTGTGTGGAGTGGTGCGCAGTGGTGCGCAGTGGTGTAACACACTCACACACACACACACACTCACGCACACACTCACGAACGTACACTCACACTCACGCACACACACACACACACACACACACACACACACACACACACACACACACACACACACACACACACACACACACACACACAAGCAATCACGTCTCACCTGAGCATGCCCATGAGGAGGGTGGTCTTGCCTGAACCAACGGGACCAACAACACCAACCAGCATCCCAGGCTTGATGTCCAGTGTCACATCTGTCAGCGTGTTGTTGCCTGCAGGCACGGGCTTGTCTCCATTCATCGCCTGCTTCTTCTTGTTGTTGTTGCTGTTCTTCTTCTTCTGTTGCTCGTCTTGCTGTGCATGCAACACATCCACCTTGCCGTTGCTGCTGTTGCCTCCAGTACCCGTCCCCTTCTCGTCGTCATCATCATCACCATCATCACGACTGCCGCCCATGTTGCCGTCGTTCCAGGAGAATGTTGCGTGCTGGAGGCGGATGGATCCGACTGGCAGCGCGGCAGTGGACGCGTCGTCCGGTGGCACGTGCTCCGGCAGCCGCAGAAACCGCTCAATCCGCGCACACGACACGCGCATCTCGCTGAAGTACTGGATGCCGATTGGAAACTGATACATGGCCATGAGACGGACGATGTTCAGCAGGGCCAGGCTGGTGAACACGGTGTAGGCTGTGAGCTCGTGACCAGTCAGTGCGTACGGCACAAATGTGAGGCACGTCATGACTGGGGTGCCGAGGTACACGAGCGTGATGTTGATGCCTCGCAGTGTCTGCGTCTTTCGCACAGACACCAGCTCTTTCTTTCGGATGGCCGCGATGAGGCGGGCAAACGGCTTCTCCCACACGTACATCTTGATCACGCGCATCCCGCCCAGAATCTGTTGCGTGGTCGTTGAGAGGAGGAGCAAGGGGAGAGGGGGGGTAATGTAATGTAGTGTTGAGCGAGTGAGTGAGTGAGTGAGTGAGTGTGTGTGTGTGTGTGTGTGTGTGTGTGCGTGAGCGAGTGAGTGAGTTTGTATGTTGTGACGGTCAATCCTCCAAGGTGTCACTACGTGCTTCCCAATTCAACCTGGTTCATGATGCTGACGCGGTGGTCGCGGTGTTGGGCGGTGGCGATGCGGTACTGAGCAAAGAGCTTTGCGGAGATGCCCTGCACGGGAAACATCAGGACAGGGATGCACAGCCCAAGCAAGCAGAACGGCCCGACTGCGCGTGCATGCAGATAAGGGAACAGTCGACGGTGAGAAGAGTGTGCACGTGTAATGTGGGGGGGGGGGGTGAGGTGCGCGAGAATGGTGTGCACACAAATTGGGACGTACTAATGTGCCAGAGATAGATGGCTGCCACGATGGTTTGAAGCGGTGCGATCCAGATGTAGTTGATGGCCACAGGGGCAACGTATAGTCTAGGGGGAGAAGGTGTGTGTGTGTGTTGTGTTGTGTGCGTGTTGTGTTGTGTTGTGTGTGTGTGTGTGTGTGTGTGTGTGTGTGTGTGTGCGTGCGTCGTGTGTGTGTGTGTGTGTGTGTGTGTGTGTGTGTGTGTGTGTGTGTGTGTGTGTGTGTGTGTGTGTGTGTGTGTGTGTGTGTGTGAGTGCTGCCGAGTATATGTATTGACTTCAAGCGTGCATGTGTGAGCTCGCCCCCACCCTCGTCCATGTTGTCGTGGTCACAGCCCAAAAGTGTTCGATCATGTCACATCACATCACCACGAAAACTCAATGGCACCTTTCCACGTCGTTGCTGATGATATTAGTGATTTTGCCCACGGTTGTGTCCATCATGTCCTGAGCGTCATGGTGAAGAAGAGGGGCGACGAGGTGTTATCAGCACAGTGCTAAAGATGGTGATGCACGCAAAGGAGGTGGACATGCATGCAGGCACGCGAATTACCGCACATACACACACATACGCACACACGCAAACACGAACAAAGTTGCTCGGAGACATGCACGCACACACACACACACACACACTCGTTTGCTCGGAGACATGCACGCACTTTGTGGTGCAGCCGAAAAGCCTTTCGGAACACAAGGTCGATGGTGCCTGCACGCAAGCTATTGCCAACGCGCCTTGCCAAGAAGATGGCGAGATGGTTCAATGACCCTTGCCTGGTATGGTGTGGTGTGATATGGGTGTGTGTGTGTGCTGTGTGTGAATAGCTGCGAGATGGAAGAACACAGTGTGCATTGCATGTCTAATGTGTGCGCAGCAATAGGAGTACCGACATTTAAACCACACACACAGGCACACATACACTCACTCACTCACACACACACTCACTCGCTCGCTCACTCACACACTCACTCACTCGCTCGCTCACTCACACACTCACTCACTCGCTCACTCACTCACTCACTCACTCACACACACACACACACACACACTCTCTCTCTCTCTGACTGACAGGAGCGCGAGGAGAGCGATGGCAAGCGCGTAGTAGTAGAGGACGCTGCCATCTGATCTGCCGCCACCGTGACTGTCAAGGTCTTCATAACCAGCAGTGTTGTTGGTTGTCGTGTTGGCTGTGAGGGTGGTGTTGCTGACGTTGTCGTCGTCATTGTCCTGGGCCTCCAGTCGCTCCAGGACACGGGTGATCTCGCCCAGGAAGTACGCCAGGACGGTCTCCACAGCAACTTGGATGCACCAGAAGAAGCCTGCCAGCAGCAGCGCCCTGTGCTCAGCAGCGAGGCAGGCGCGGAAGAAAGATGTGCGGTTGCTGGGCTGCTGTTCGTCTGCCTTGCTGTGCCACGCATGCCACAGGCGCTCAGTGCACGCGCTGGCTCCCGCAAACGATGGCAAGGCCAGGAGATCGTCCGCGCCCAGCTGCCGTTGCGCACCCGCCTTCACCGCCCCCGTCATCCATCCAAACGTCCACAGCGAGAACAGCTGTGGCAGCCATGGCCGATCCAGTGGGTGCATGCCACCTCGTGTGCTGCTGATGCTGGTGGTGGTGGTGCTGTGGTGTGTCTGTATGTGTCCGTGGGGTGTGTTGTATTGCATGGGGTGGGGAAGCACACTCGCACTCGAGCACACGCACAACAGAGAAGTGGATGACGACGCTGGTCACAAACCAAGCGCGGTAAGGGTAGGACCACCGAGGGCAGTGGCGAATATTACTAGTTCGACAGCACAAAGTGTAGTGCTGACGCAAGCAGCAGCGGAAACGAGCGAGGGGAATCAAATCATCTAATCATCGCCCAAAAGCCTGCAAGCAACCCATATCCGAACAGCCAACAGTCCATATCCAACAACAACAACAACAACAGGACATCCACAACAACGACGAACACACCACACCAGCACAACAAAACCAACGCCTCCTCCCTCCTTTTGTTGTCTCTTTGCCAGCCATGGCGCTGCGGAGCTTCTGGTATGCGGAGTGGTGCCTTGCGTGCGACTGCATGGGCCGGTACATGTGCGGGTGCTGGCTGCGATGGATGCTGGGGCTGCGGCCAACGTATCCGACGGATCCGTGGTACAGCACGTCGACCATCACCTTCCAAGTGCCGCAGATCAAGCGCGACTACGAGGGGCCGGACCGCCGCCTGTCGCCGGAGTTTGTGAAGGACCGCATCGTGGAGGAAGGCGGCCAGCTGTACGCGTGCTGCCCCGGGATGATCGACGTGTGCGCGACATACAACATTGTGCGTGAGGTGGACGCCATGACGCACACGGGCGTCGTTGCTGTCACCGTCATTGCCGGGCAAGAGGAGAAGGTGCGAGAAGCCATTCGCGGCCTCACAGACCGAACCGGAAACCCCATTCACGCTTACGAGGACCTCTCTGCAGCACACAAATAATGTAACATAACATAACGAGACGAAGGTGTTGAAAAAACAGAGAGCGGGGGAGGGTGGAGGAGACTGAGGTGAGTGTGTGAGTGAGTGTGTGAGTGAGTGTGTGTGTGTGTGCGTGTGTGCGTGTGTGGTGACGGTGTAATGTGTAACATGTAAAGGGTGAAGTATTAGACGCTACACGATGTATTTGTGGCGCCACAACATGCTGTGTTCAAGGTGTATACAAGCTTTCCCTTGCCCATTTGGTGGTTTACTTGCTGTGTGCTCATTGGTCGGTATCACACGGCATACGCTGGTCGTACGAGAATACACACCACGTGCAAGCCCAAGCAAGCACAAGCACACACGGCAAGTGTTGGAGGGATGAGGATGGGTGCAAGTAGGAGGAAAGTGGTGACACAGTGAGCGTGCACGCACGCATGTGTGCGTGTGGGGGGGGGAGGGGAAAGGGGCTACAACATCTCAAACGAGGAGCACAGCGGCGATGGCGGCGGCAACGAAGGCGACCACGCCAGACACGGCGGAGGCTGTCATGGGTGGGTGGTTTGGAGACAGGTTGAGTGTGAGAGGAGAGAGAGAGAGAGAGAGAGAGAGGCGAAGTGGGAGGTTGTGGTGGAGGGTGGATGGGGAAGGGCAGGTGGGGGAGGGTGTGGAAAGAGTGGGATGGGAAGGAAGGTGGGGATAGGGACAGAAGGATGCAGAACAGCCCCAGGCATACAGTTCACACACACACACACACACACACACACCTGCGCTGGATGAGATGTTGGAGGGGCTTTCAGTGCCCTCTGCAGACTCTGAGACGCCGGTGACGCCCATCTGCGCGCACGACGTGTTGAGGTTGCTCACAAATAACTCCGCATCAATCTGGACGCCAAACAGGTTCGGGTGTGCCTGTAGAAGTAGTCGTTTTGTTTGGGGGGCGGGGAAGAAGGTGAGGAGTGAGGGATGCGTTGGAGAAGGGCGAGAAGGAAAGTGGGTGTTACTTGCGAGCAGCGATGATAAGTGCACACACACAGACGCAGGCACAGACACAGACACAGACACAGACACAGACACACACACCGACCTCGAGGGTGGCACGGATGCTGCCGAGGCAGTTGCCGTAGTTGACAATCTGCATGCACTGAGCAGCGCCAAAGTCGCCAGGGCTCTCCTCAAACGCCTGCAGAACCGGGATGAGCTGGCCGCAGTACTCGCCGTTCTCGCTCGACTTGGTGCACACGAGGCCCAGCAGCGCCTGGTAGCCGGAGATGGCGCCAAAGGAGCCGAAGAAGTCGTCATCGGTTGGGTCGTCGTCGCCCGTGAGCGGCGTGTCGTCGTCCGGACCGGCAGGCAGGCACTCTGTCACAAGTGTGTGTGTGTGTGTGTGTGTGTGTGTGTGTGTGTGTGTGTGTGTGTGTGTGTGTGTGTGTGTGTTGGGTGTGTGTGTGTGTGTGTGTTGGGTGTGTGTTGTGTGTGTGTTGGGTGGTGAGATGCGTGGTGAGCGATGGAGTCGATTGGATGCGAATACAGCATCAAAAAAAAGTTGACGCGGGCGCAAGCACAGATCTGCACTTGCAGATCTGCAAGCAACGCACCAGAGTCGACGAGGATGTTGATGGCCCTGAAGAGCTTGATGATGCACGTGTTGTCGCAGACCTCTGCCAGCTGTTTCCGAGGAGGGAGAGACGTGAGAGGCGTGGGCGTGAGAAGGTGAGTGCGTTATTTGGGGATGGTGCAACAAGTGAAATCGCCGCATTCGTGGATGCAGACACGGACAAATGCAAACACACACACACACACACACACACACACACACACACACACACACACACACACACACACACAAAAGCACTCACACACACTCACACGCAGACGCATGATAGCCGCCCCATCATCATCTCCGCTCCCATGGCCAGAACAAACACACTCTGTCTGGCTGGTAAAAGTCGTCGTCGTCGCCCATGCTGTCATCAAAACCGTCATCGTCGTCGAAGAAGGAGAAGGTCTCGTTGGCGTTGAGGATGCAATCCACCACGTCCTGGTTGATGGCCTTCTTGACGGGGCCCTGGCAGCGGTCTGGGAGCAGGGCGATCAGGTACTGGCGAACCTGGTCGGCGCTGGGAACGAAGTTGTTGCTGTCAAAGTCGCTGCACTCAAACACGGTGGCAGAGGTCTGCGTATCCGTGCACGAGCACACGTACAAGTCGTTGGAGCTGACAAACGAGCAGGCGCAGTTGTTGTCGCACTGCGCGTTGCACTGCGTGCTGGTCGTCACCTGCACTTCAGCACACGACTGCTGCTCAGCCGCTGCCGTCCCCGCGCTGAACGGTAAGTCGAGGGCAGAGCGTTGGGAAAGGGGGGGGGAAGGGCAAAGTGAGGTCGGAGAGGGAGGTGAGTGTAAGCACGGTGTGTGTGTGTGTGTGTGTGTGTGTGTGTGTGTGTGTGTGTGTGTGTGTGTGTGTGTGTGTGTGTGTAGATACATGTTTGTGTGCAGACGTGTGTGTGTGCGTGTATGCGTGTGCGTGTTGTGTGTGCGGGAGAGCTCGAGCTCACAACAAGTCGAGAAGCAAAGGCTCAGGCCAGGAAGCGCAGACTCACAGGGCAACAAGGGCGGCGACGAGGAACGCGAGCTTCATGGCGGTCATTGTCGTCGTTGGTGGGTCGGTCTTGGTGGTTTGTGTTGGTGTTCAGAGAGAGACAAAAGTGAAAATGCAGCACAGCGGGTCGCCTGATGTTGTGTGCAGTGTGTGTGTTGATTTGGAGCCACGACCAACGACAATCACGAGGTCATGTCAAAGTAACGTCGAGAAGCCACTTCGCATGCCTGCGTGCGTGTGTGTACTTGTGTGTGTAGAGCTGCCCAATCCCATCGTTGCTTCTGTCTCATCAGAGTGCAGCACAAGCTAAGAATGGATGGCTTGCGCCTGCTCGTGATTGTGTGAAATGCACCAGTGCGTTGGTCGCGTTTGCAGTGCCACAAAAAAAACCGAAAACGGGCGGCGGCGAACGCAAGAATTGTCGCTTCACGACAGGACAAAATGGGACAGGCGCAAGCTGTCCTTCGTGTTGTGGACGATGACGATGATGGTGGTGATGGTGAGGGCGAACGCCAGAGCCAAGCGGTGGCAGCGACGGCGGTGCCAGAGGCTGAGGTGCGGTTGACGCATGAAGGAAGAGAGCGATCAGCCATCGTGGTAGTGCCGCAAGTACAGCAGCAAGAGCAGGAGCAACAAGACCAGGAGCAACAAGAGCAGGAGCACCTGCCGGTGGTGTTTGTGTTTCATGGTGGGGGTGGCAATGCGCAACAGATGAGAGATCACTGTCGGATGGATGAGCTGGGCGCACGAGAAGGGTTCATCACCGTGTACCCAAATGGCGCAGGTCGCTTCTCCAAGAAGCTCCTCACATGGAATTGCGGTGTGTGTGTGAGGGGGGGGGGGGGGTGGAGAGTGGAGGGGTCGGGGGCTCGGGATGTATGTGTTTGCTTTGTTGCTTGCATTTGCGTTTGTTTGTTTGTTTGTTTGTATGGACGTTTGCGAGTGTTGTGTGTGTGTTTGTGATTGCGTTACTTGCATTTGCGTTTGTTTGTATGGATGTTTGCGAGTGTTGTGTTTGTGTTTTACTAACACCTCAACTCATGCTCGCCATCCCCAAACGCATGGTATGCAGAGCCCGGCAAGTGCGGGTACAGCGCTGACCACAACGTGGATGACGTTGGGTTTGTGCTGCGGTTGCTGGACTACATCTTGAAGGCGTTTCCCGCCAACCCACACCGCGTCTACGCCACAGGTTGGTCGTGGTGTGGTTGCATTTGTGTATGCGTGGCAGAGGGGCAAGAGTCGGAAGCGAAGAGCAAACCAACGTGCTGACACGAGTTATGCATGTGCAGGCTTGTCAAATGGGGGCATGTTCTGCTACCGGCTGGCGTCGGATCGCCTCGCATCCACCCGATTCGCCGCCATCGCCCCAGTCGGTCGGTGTGTATGAGAGAGAAGGGGGAGGAAGGGGAATGCTGTGTGTATGTGTGTGTGTGTGTGTGTGTGAGGAGGGGGAGGGGGAAAGGGAATGATGTGTATGTATGTATGTATGTATGTGCGTGCGTGTGCGTGCGTGTGTGTGTGGGCGTGCGTGTGTGGGGATACTTCATGCGCTCTCATTCACTCATATACACACCCACCCACACACACACACACACACACACACACACACACACACACACACACACACACACACACACGCACACGAGCAGGTGGCGTGTGTTTGTGTTCAGCGACGTTCCAACCACAGCGGCAGGTGCCTGTGATGCACATCCATTCCGTGGACGACCCACGAGCGCTGTTTGAAGGTGTGGTCAAGTCAACTTGGTCAAGAAAAGCGACATGGAGTCTTGGAAACAGAGAGGGAGAAGAAGAGTAGTCTCACTTCTTCACTTTCGTGACGTCTGTTGCGGTTGATTGTTGTTGTTGTGTAGGGGGCGAAGGGCCGCCGTTCCCGCTCACGCGGCGCACTGTCACGCACTCGCCGGTGATGGAGGTTGGTGGTACAATCAAGAGCCGGGGGAGGGGGGACTAGGTTGCGTTGGGTGGTGAAGGAGGGAGGTAGGTGTGTGACGAGGTGGAGGTGAGACAGCAAGCGACGTTCCCCGTCATTCACACACACACACACACACACACACACACACACACACACACACACACACACACACACACACACACACACACACACACACACACACACACACACACACACACACACACACACACACACACACGCACTCACTCACTCACGTGCAGGTTGTGCAGCAGTGGACGAGGTTAAATGGCTGTGACGGTGCAAACCCCGTTACCATCGACACGCGGAGCTCACCGTCACCGTCACAACAGCAACGGCGTGAAGGACGTGAGCTGCACACGGCAACGCTGCTCTGCTTTCCGCCAACTGCACAGCACAGACACGCGGCACAACAGGACAACCAACACCGCCCACAACCTACCACAACCACAGCAACATCAACAACAACAACAGCAACAACAACAGCAACAGCAGCAGAAGTAGCGTATGCGCGGTACAGAAACATGCCGGTCGTGTTTCTCTGGCGGCTGACGGGCGCGGGCCACGTGTGGCCGTCAATGGCAGCAGGGGAGAGAGCGCGGCGGGCGGCGTGGGTGCAGCGGTTCTGCGGCAGCGCAACGGACGTCATTGACGCAAACGACGAGATGTGGCGCTTCTTCCAGCAGCACCAGGGAGCTGGGTGAAGAAAAAGCGGAGGGGGGAGGAGGTGTGGAGTGGGGTGGAGCACGAGGAATCGATGGCATTCCTTGAGGAACTGGGTGGCGAGCGCAAGGCTTAAGTGGTGAAGGCGCTTGAGAAGTGGAACTACACGCGCGAGGTGGCGTCCAAGGTCACGCGTACATTCTACGCGCTCGATTGCACTTGCTCCATGAGCACCAGCTTGAAGAAGACCACGCAAGTCATTGGCACCGTCTTTGAGCGCACCGAGAAGATTCTTGACGACGCCGGTTTGCTTGGCAACAGCGATGTCGCCATGCAGCTGGCGGCATACCGCAACTACAACGTGGATGCGGACCAGCTACTGCAGGTGTCGGGCTGGGAGCAGAACCCGCTTGCACTGCGGCAGTTCCTGTTTGGCCTGAAGGTGAATGGTGGCTGGGGCAACGAAGCGATTGAGGTTGCGCTTCACCGCGCCAACACGGAGAAGGACGTGTCGCAGGTGATTTTGATTGGCGACGCACCAGCCAACTCCCCAGATGAGGTGGCATCCAAGCGAAACAGCAAAGGTGAGCGTTACTGGTCCAAGTTTCCCGAGTTTGCCAAATCCACGACCGCGGCGGCCGAGCTACAGAAGCTGAAAGAGAAGGGCATTCCAGTTCACGCCTTCTTCATTGATCCTCGCGCCAAGAACTTCTTCAGGCACGCTGCTCAGATGACTGGTGGGCGCTGCGAGTTCCTGGACATTGAGAAGGCGTCTCGCGCCGACCAGCTCACGAATCTTGTCTCCGAAGAGCTGCTGCGGCGTGTGGGTGGCGATGACCTCGTCAACACCTACCGAGCCACTTTCTGCAAGTGATGTGGTGTGTGTGTGTGTGTGTGTGTGTGTGTGTGTGTGTGTGTGTGTGTGTGTGTGTGTGTGTGTGTGTGTACAATGTCAGTGTGTGCATGCGAGTTCATTGTGCTGTTTTGAATGATGTGATTGTTGCACTGCGTGACTTGGCTGCATTCGCCTTTCGTGCACCTCGCGCACTGGGCGTGTTGACTGTTGTGTGTACAGGGGTTCGTTCATTTTCACGTTCACTCCACCCTGCGTTGCCTCTCCTTTCCTATTTCACACTGTTGTCGACTGTGTTTGGTCTTGATGAGTTGAGTCTTGTGGTGTTGCTTGCGGTGTTGTTGTGCTTCCAGCATTCATGTCACTCATGCAAGCGAGCTGACCGTCTTCTGTTGTTTTTGCACGTCGTCCTGTGTCTTGTTTGTCAACATGGCTGTTTTGTTGTTGAACGAAGTAAACTTGTTGATGAATCCTACCACTCATCATGTCAAGACGTAAGAATCACATGCGTCAGCAAAGAAGAGGTGTTTGGTGACATCACGTCAGAATTCCTTCCCCATTCCTTTCCGTTCACCCCCTCCCCACCCCACCCCACCCCTCACGATTCTTCCACCCACCCGTCCCTCCATTAAACCCACGTTCTCACGTTGCAACAACGGCTTTATTCCCTCCAACACTCCAACACGTTGATGAAACACAGTTCCCAACACCAACAGCACCAAACACCAAACGAAACAAGAAAGAAAGCAAATAACCATCCCAAAAAGAAAAGTCGTTGTAACTGTAACAACTGAAAAGAACACGCACGCGATGGTAACAGCAATGCGCATGTGTGCATGTGTTTGTGTACGGCTTCACCACGAGGTGGGCGGGGATTGCGGCGTGTGCTCGCTGTGCGACTTGTTGCGGGCGCGCATGTTCTGAAAGTAGATGTTGAGCTGCTTGAGCGACAGCATGGGAAACTGGCGCAGCAGGGCCTCCTTGTCGCTCCTGCGCCGTGATGTTGTGCGGCGGTACGGGTGAGTGCAAACCAGTGGTGAACGCAACAATGCACAGTCGTGAACACAGCAACACACAGCAACACACAGCAACACACACACACACACACACACACACACACATACACATACACACACCGCCACCAGCCTGACCGGGTTGGCCGGCGGTTGACGCGGAAGAAGTATTCCCTCAGCTGCTTTGAGACATCGGGCGGCATCTTGCGCGGGCGCTTGGGCTTTGTCGCAACGTTATCGCTGGCAGTTGTTGGCGCGTGCTGCGGGCATGCGACAGTGTCCGTTGACATGTTGGCGGCAAAGTGCGGGTGGATGTGGAGCAAGTTGGGCACAGCTGCAGGCGGGAAGGGCGATGCCATGTTCGGCTGCCCGCTCGACGCACGTCTCTGCGCATGTGTGTGTGTGTGTGTGTGGTTGTGTGTGTGCGTGTGCGTGTTTGTGTGAGCAGTTGTGGCGCAGCACATGTACATGTGAAATTCTCTCCCTCTTCCCCCCGACACGAGTAAACACCTCTTCACCCCCCCCCCCTGTCACCAACAACAACCCCCCTTCTCTCCAACACAACTCACCCCTCCGCTGCTGCTGCTGCTGCTGCTGCGCCGCCGTCGCATCTCTGTCTGCATCTCAGCGACCTGTGCAGCCACCCTCACGCGCTCCTCCTGCGCATGTGCATGTGCATGTGTGCATGTGTGCGAGCACGTCAGTTACATGCAATCAACGCAAAACACCACCCTTGCACCATCCTTCCCTCAACGCAACCAACACACACACACACACACACACACACACACACACACACCACCACCACCATCACACACACTCTCTCTCACCACCAACTACCTTTCCCCCCTCCCTCACCTCGGTGATGTCGAAGACGGCGGCGTGCATGCGGATGACCTTGTGCGAGGCCTTTGGCCCGCCAAACCACCGGTTCGTCTGCGTACTGGAGAGAATAGACGAGTAGTGCTGCTGCGAGATGACCACGCCCAGCTGGGTGAGGAACGCCGCCTTCTGCTTCTGGCTGCGCAGCCCAAACAGCGACAGCCTGCGGTCCACCTCGCACATGAGCTCGCGCGCCTCCTTTACGTTGAGGACGGGCCCGCACTCTGCCTCTTCCTTGACGGCCATGCTGCAGCTCACGCTCTTGCTCCTCTTGCTGTTGTTGTTGTTGGTGCTGGTGTTTGTGGTGGTGTGGTGGTTGCTGCTGGTTCGGTCGGTGTGGTTGGTGTTGTTGATTGCGCTGGGCGTATCGGCACTGCAGCTTGCTGTTCTCCGCGCGCTTGCACGGCGTTGCTGCGTGGCCTTTGCGCCGCGCTTGTGGGTGTTGGTACCTGGAGAATATGAGGCGGATATGATGTGTGTATGAGGCGGGTATGATGTTCGTGTGAGTCAAACACTGGTCGCGCGCACGTCGTGCATAAATGCATGCACGCATGGACACACACACACGCCCTTGAATGCACGCTGCTTTGTACCACTCCATGACTCACCAGTTGCTCGCTGGGGGACGCGGGACTTGTTGCGGCGAGCGTCTGCGCAATGACGACAGGCGGCACAAACGAACAACAGGTTCACGGTGAGCGAGGAAGGCCTCAAGACACGAAAGGCACAGCGGGTGAGCGAGGAAGGCCTCAAGACACGAATGGCACAACGTTCAATCACACACACACACACACACACACACACACACACACACACACACACACACACACACAAAACGCACAGCAACGTACGCTTGCGGCGCGCGGATGGGTGCGTCGTGGCGGTCTCGTCAGCGTCGCTGCCGCTGTCGTCAACGTCGCCCTCATCTCCGCTGTCATCCGTATCGGGGACGCCCTCGCTCTCCTTCCTGCCGCCAGTCATCGCGCTCGCTGAGGGCAGGTCCACGGCAGGCACGTGCTGCATGTGCGTGTCGAGCGGCAGGGCGTGGTCGTGGGCAGGGTGCATGCCGGTGGAGCCTGGCAGCGCAATAGGGTCATCGGCACGCGCAAACCCAAGCGCATCTGTAACAGACAGCGTGTGGTGGCGGTGGTGGTGGTGCAGGAGCGATTGATCGCACATTGGATGCTGCAGCTCAAACGGGTGCATGCGGGGCATGGCTGACCACGTTGGGGCGGCGGCGGCGGCGGTGACGCCAAAGGGGAGGCCCATGCTGGACAGGCTGGACGGCGGCATGCCCGGGGCAGGGTGGCCGTCGAGATAGTGCGGGTGGTGCGTGTTGAAGTCTGGCAAGCGATCGCCCGGCATGGCGGCTGTGGTGGCGACGGGGAACAACACGCTGTTGCCCTGGTGGTGGGGCTGGTGCTGGTGCTGTTGGTGGTGTTGATGCTGGTGCTGGTGCTGCTGTTGGTGGTCACGCACGTCGTCAGGCACCTCCGCAAACGGCTGGTGCTGTTGTGCCTGGACCATGTGGTGGTGGTGGATGTGGTGGTGCTGGTGGCGATAGACTTGGGAGGCGAGGCGATCGCAGTGCTGTCTGCCAAAGGACGTCGGGATGGCCGCCGTGCCCACAAACGGGTGCTGTCCGATGGGCACACGCGCGAGGGCTGGGCGGTCCTGCAGCGGCATGTGCGGCTGCATGGGCGCCTGATGGTAGATGTGACCCCGAAATGCGTGGGCTTCCACCACCGGCGGCGGTTGTGGGGACTGGTGGAGTGCGTTGGACGTGTCGGACGTGGTCGCGGCCGTGGCAGTTGTGGTGGTCGCAGTTGTGGTGGTCTCAGTGTGGGATGCCGCGGGCTGTTGCGCGTGCTGTTGTCGTTGCTGCTGTGCAGGTCCTTGCTCCTGTTCCCCAGCTGCAAATAACGGAGAGCCGGAGATGGGGGGGGGGGGGTTGGTGACGTTACAGCGAGCATGTACGGTTGATGGTGAAGTGTACGCAAGGGCACGCACAAACACAGACACAGAAACACAGACACAGACACAGACACAGACACAGACACAGACACATGTGCATTCATACACAGACACACAAAGGAACAACTTACGTGGTCGTCGCTGACGATGCAGAAAAGTTGAGGAGGAGCGGGAGATGGATGTCGGGGATGGCAGCATGGAGGATGCTGCAGACGAGTTTGAAGAGTTTGACGAGGATGAGGGTGATGATCCCGAGGTGTACGCGGAGGAAAGCGAGCTGTCGTGGGCGCCATCACTCGCCTCCGCGACCTGCGCGTCCTCCTGCCATGCCGGCAACGCACGCGTGTCGGTGTGCAAGGCAGGATGCCGGAGGTTCTGGTGGTGCTGGTGCTGCTGGTGGTGGTGGTGCGGGGAAGGCTTTGGCCGCCCGTTTTGGTCGGTGAAACTTGGGGTAGGTGAGGGTGTCTTTGTCGCCGCAGGGGTGGTGGTGGATGTGAGTGTTGTTGTGTGCGGTGGATCGGCCATCGTCACAATGCACGAGGGCGGCGAGAGCGGTGGCGACGCAGGCACCAGCGGTTGCACGACGCGACGAGGAGGCGCACCCGTGTCAGCGGCCCGACAGCCTTGCTGGTGCAGGTGAGCACTGTCCGGGTGTTGGAGTTGTTGTTGCTGTAGTGGATGTGAAGATTGCGGGAGAGGTGACAACGGAGCGATGGTGATGCTGTTGCCAGAGCACTGCCGATGGATGTGTGTGGACAGCTCTTGCGGTGCAACCGCCTGTAGAATGGGGTCAACGTCCATTTCACCGAGAAGAAGAAGAACAAGGAAGGAGGAGAACAAGGGAGGAGAACAAGAACAAAGGGGGGGGGGTGCGAAACGAGGAGCACCGCAGGCAACCAAGGAGGGGTCGTCGCTTTCCAACGCGTGGTGTCGCCGAGGTGGTGCGTGGTGAAGGTGCTTTTGTTCTGGCCGTTGCCCGTGTGTGGTTGCAGGGAACAGAAGGGGTTGTCGTGCAGATGGCGAGGATCACTTGGCAAAGCGCACAGGAGTGCAGGGCATATAAGGTGGGCGAGAAGGAAGGGGAACAAGTGGAGACAGCCACGTTTGCCAGACAACAAGCAAGAAGCAAGAGAAAGACAAGAGAAGAAGGAGAGAAGAGGGAGAAGGAGAAGGAGAAGAGGGAGAGAAAAGGCAAAGACACACGCACACAGCAACACAACCGCAGCAACACAGTGAACGTGCATGCAAGCAAGCAACAAGCAACAAGCCACAAGCCACAAGCAAGGAGGGAAAACTTACGCTGTGTTGTGTGCGTCATGTGTGTGTGGAAAGAAACTTGTTTGTGCGGTGGTTGCTTGCAGGCAAAGGTTGCTGGGCGACGGGGCGTTTCGAACCGCTCTTTCGAAAATCGACACCAAGCATTTCGCGTCTCTTCGAGGCATCGTTGTGCATGGGTAGAAAGCGTTTAATAGTGCATCAAATCAGAAGAGAAGGCGGTGTGTGGCGGCATCATGCGGGTGTGCAGGATTCCATGTTCAATTAAAACAAAATGTGAACGACGAAGCGTCACGATGAAACGGGGTGGGCCTACACACAAAGTGCAACGGCGCGCCAGCATGAGAAATCAAAGCAACAACGTTAAAAGCGCATGAAAGTAAGATGAATTTTTCATATTGTTGTTGTTGTTGTTGTTGTTGTTGTTGTTGTGGTTGTTGTTGTTGTTGTTGTTGTTGTTGTTGTTGTTGTTGTTGTTGTTGTTGTTGTTGTTGTTGTTGTTGTTGTTGTTGTTGTTGTTGTTGTTGTTGTTGTTGTTGTTGTTGTGTGTGTGTGTGGTGGAACGAACGCGCCATCACTTACATTGTGCAAACACACACGACCTCACACACACATGCAAACACACACGACCTCACACAAACATACACGCATCAACCTACCCATTGCAGCGCGAGCTGTGCCTGCTCCAATGCATCCACGTGGGTCTGAAGAACAGCAAAAAGGGTGTGAGCGCATTGGATGATTGGGAGGGGGGTGTTGGTGTTGGGCGGGGACGTTGGCGCGTGGTGTGGGCAGGCGGAAAGAAAGGCAAGGCAGCAAGGCAGACAGCTGGAAAGATAAACGGGAGGGGGGAAACGTAGACGGGAGGAAGCCAGACGCACACAGGCACACACACACGCACACACACACACACACACACACACACACACACACACACACACACACACACACACACACACACACACACACACACACACACAC